AACTGTAGGGCAGTTGTCCATCTGAAGCATTCTCCCTTTCTGTACCTGTGCAGTTCAAGCTGGGGATTTTTTTCTGCTATGGAGAGTGGAGTACAGAAAACGAGTGAAATGTATGTTTGTCTGTATCCTCAGTGGGCTCAGATGATCCAGCCATCTTTTGAGGAGAGGGTTGCCCATGCATCAGGATACATGGAGACAGCAATTTTAGCTCTCCCCTAAACTGAACCCTTCTACTCATAATGGAAACCAATTAAAAAATTAATTTCTTGGGGTACAAATTGGAGTCATTTAACTTGGTAGAGTTTTGTTCTGTGGTAAATATATCTTTCTTGAAGTACTATATTTGATTTTTTAATTGCCTAGGTCTGAGGAAATATATGGGTTTTTTATTGTGTTTCTTTTATTGTGATTTTTTTTCTTTTTCTCTTTACACTAAATGCCATGTGGGTGTAAGATTATTCTAATAGAGTCATCAAATAATATTTTTTCAATAAAATAATCCAACAATAAGAAAGCCCAACTAAATTATTTAACATGTTAACTTTGAGAGGTAACTTTTTAAAAATAATGTCCTGTGTCTTCCACATTTACTGTCTCTCAGTGATTTCCATATCAACTGTGTTCAATTTGTAACTAAAAAGATGGTATTTTTTCTAATTTTAATCTTGCAAAATGAGTTTGGGATTATCAGTACAAATAATAAATGTTTTACTGTCCAAACTGTGTATCTGCCAAGAGTTGTAAATCAATGTAGTTTTCAGCTTACATATATTTGTATCAGTTTACACAGATATGCAGAAACATGCATACATTGTGAATACATTATGTATTTGTTCTAATTGCATCCATTCTATATATTCATTCCATATATATTTAGGATATAGGATAGACTCTATTTATCCTATCCTATCTATACATATCCCTCAGGCACAACTTATTCTACCATCAACCCCCATTCATTCTATGGATAATCTACTCGTGAAATCATACACTGAATTCCAGTGCATTGGAACAGACTCATCAAGTCTGCTGGACTATGGCTACTACTGTACTCCAGCAGCTTCCTACACTTTATATCATCATCCCTGTGCTTGAATTAAAGCTGGTAAAACAAACTTCAGTTCAAGCACCCCTGCCACCATTTTTAAGCATGGGGACGATGATGCATGAGATGCTGCCATGCTTTAATTAGAGCAGCTCTTGCAACCACTCCAATTAAAGCGCCACATTCCCTACCCCTGGAGCATGTGTAAAAGTGCCCAAGGACATAAAAAAGGAAAGCATCTTGCCGGTCAGTCCACACACACTTTATATTTGTATTTCACACTTATTCATGCTTATTTATCATGTAACTATTGGGACCAGTTCAGGAGTTGCCTCTATAAAACCAAACTTAAATCTACTAAAGAAGAGAGAGGACATATTATAGAAATTGATGTTTAAAGACAAAGCTATAAAAAAGAATGGGGTTTCCCTGTGTTCAGCGGCAGCCCCAACTGCTCAGCTTACCAGTGCGTTGACCATGACACATAACAGCACTAGCAGAGATCAGGAACCTAAGTGGGACAGAGATACAATAGAGTACAGGTGCAGTGAGTTCAGAGACGCTTGCAGTATGGGCAGGGCTGTCCCTGCGGGGGGCAAATTGGGGTGACCGCCCCATGGACAGTGCTGTACAGGCCCTGCCATGGCAATGCCACTGCTGCCGCTGACTTCTGTGGGAGGTCACCACCCCCACCCCCACCACTGCCACCGCCACCAGGTTCTGCGGGCAGTTGACACCCACCCCTCCTCACCGCTGCTGCTGCTGCTGACTTCTGTGGGTGGTCACCACCACAGCCCTCCCTCCCCCCCAGCCACACACACCCCTAGGGACATCTCTGAGTATGGGGCACATGAAAGTACTAAGGAAGAGACATATGTAGGCACAGATGTTATGAGAGGAAATATAGAGAAGACAGTTGATTCTCAGCTGGTTCTGAAATCAGAGACAAGTTACTTATCAGATAATTTATCAGCCCATTGTTTAAACAGCTGAAAAGGAGAGAATGGAGTTTACCTGCTACACAGATGGAAGAACCACTCTTCATCACCCTGTGGAGAAGCTCTGATTTGTTCTCATTCCTCAGGTGGTGGGGATGTGGAAAAAAGGACAGTACAGCAGAAGGAAAATTGCTTGAAGACCAGAGAATTTCCCTTAGATCCACAGGAAGCTTGAAAACCTCAGTCTATAAGGAAAGCTTATATAAAGCTGACAGGCCTAAAATGATGCCCTCAGCTGCTTCATTTTAAGCCTATGGGCATCCTCATTGCCTACAAATTATGCCCTCAGTGATACTAGTGCAATTCCATTGCCTCCAGAGTATACCTTTCATGATATCAGTGTAACCCTACAACTTTCATAATGAAACAACAGTGTAAGTGAGTTGACTCAGTAGTAAATTAAGTCAATGATGCTGCCGATGAATTAGAATCAGAATGCCTTTCTCTTAACTCTCTTAGCTGTTTTAGCTCTGCAGGATTAACAGAAGTAAAAATAATTTATAAAGAAAGTACTGAAATCTATAGGAATCATTCTGAGTACAAACACAGCAGAATCCTATTTAACTTTATGGGTCTATTAGGCACATATGTGCAATTCTATTTAAAATAGCTCAAACATTGAAAAAAAAGTTAATGCAAAAGATGGGTGGGTTCTCTTTCCTGGTTTTTTGTGACTCAGACTTAAGGGCAAAATGACGATGTATTACAGAAGTGCATTACTAGATTTCCAGAGACTCAAACAGGATGGAACAGAATCTCACTTAGAAGCCTAAGTCCACATGGATGCTTAATAGGAGCACGTCTCCACGAGACACTTTACTGCACAGTAGACTAATCAACTGTACTGCAAGTAAAGCATTAGCATCTGCACATCCATAACATTTACGGTGCAGTAAATTAGGCTAATGCATGGTTTCCTAGTATCGAGCAATACAGGTACTAGATTAACTGTGCAGTAACAGACATGTAGACAGCTGACCAGAAGCAAATTGTTCCCAGACAGCCTAGACAGCAGGGGACAGATGGGAACTGTCCCACTTGTGGGGCAGCTCCCAACCAGACCTGCACCAAGCCCTGATCTGCATGGGGCTGGCAGGAAGCTATCCCCCAGAAGTGGGACAGCTCCCCATCCTAGCCCAGGCCTGACCCCTGTGCCCTCTGCCAGCCTGGAGCTCCCCTGGGCTGCTGCAAGGGGACAGAGCAGAGCTGGAACAGCCCTGCACTGAACTGATCCCATCAGGTGCAAATTTGATTCTGATGGGAGCACACATAGATGTGTTCTCAGCCACATTTTAATGTGTCTTAAGGTACTGCGCAGTAACCTTAATGCACATTAATTGCACATGTAGACACACCCTAGTTGGAATAGATTTTGGTCCCAAGTGGAATAAATTAATCCTGTTTTCTAGCATGCAGAGATGACAGTTGAAATTATATAGCCAAGTTATACAACATCTCCCTCTATTTAGCTGTAATGTTGTTTAGTCATTGATTTACTTTTCAGGAGACACGTCACCCAAAAACATTATTTTACTGAAGGAAAAAAGAGTTCTCATCTTTTTTAGTTCTCAGTCCTTTAGCTCAAATACAAGACCACCTATCATCTCACCTAGAATACAGGCCAACTATATTTAATGCTGCCATGTACTGTTTGTTAGTCTTAACATTATATTAGTCCTGCAGTTTTGTTTGAGCTGTGATGGTCCAGGGCATGTGAGAGAAGTAAGCTTTCTTTGTTAATAACTTTTATTGGACTAACAGTATAACTGAGAGATGTTACCGAATCTTTCAGGCACAAAATGCCCTTCCTCATGTCTCCCAACTATACAGTTGATCCAAAAAATGATATTACTACAGAAATCTTGCTAGCATAAGAGATTTAATTTTCTAGCTTTGAGCCTGAATAGGTTGCAGAGCCAAATCCTGTAGAATATGGCCAGTGAGCCTTAATATTACTACACCAAATGGAGACTTTCCTTTAGCTCAATTTTCAGAGGAGTGTGTATTGGAACCTTCAGTTTCAAAAACCTGGAAGAACTGAATTAAATCCTCAGTGCTAGTCTGAGTGTCTACTCATGTGCAGCCACTGAATCATGACATGCTGGTGGGCCTGTTATCAAAACTGAGAGTTTAGTCTGAATTTTGTCTTCCTCTTCAATAATTATAATCTAATGTGTTGCATCAAATTTCCCTGAAACTCAGAGTCTGCTTTAAAGATATTGTATAACATGACCGGTGTTTTTAGAAAATATGTAATTTCAGAATAAGACAACAGCACGCAGCAGCTGTACAGAACTTTTCATTCAGAAATCTCAAAGTCATTGCTGTTACCCTTCTTATATAATTATGTAATTTATAATCTTGCATTTTCAAAACTTTATCTAGAATGCAGTCAATTAGCTGTTGAGTTACTACTAAAGTCAGCAGGAGTACTTTGGCGAGAATGTCATGCACCCTGTGCTTTGAATCAAGGTTTCAAATGCCAAGAAAAATGTTTTATTAGATGCTACTTTAATATGGTTCTGAAAGCTTTTCCAGTTCTGCAAAGGTTCTTGTATATTAGAAAACTCTTCACTTAAAGAATGACAGTAAATCCAGTAAAGTGAAATGTTTTAATTCTCTTGTAAATGTGCATTTGAAGTCAGTACAAGTCTGTGTAAGGCATTCTCATAGGTGAAAAGCAACCAACATTCTTTCCAACCTATGAAGATTTGAGGCAACTGCATGTGCATAAAAATATAACCTAATCTATAAACAATGAAATATATGATGTTTTGTTTTTGAACGCATTATGATGTAATATCATTTTTGTACCATGACACTACCTCGAAGTAAATATTGGCACTGTAAATGATTTTTGATCGCATTGAGGCTTGTATTCTCTTCATATCCCAGTAAAAAATAAACTCTTTAATAAATAAATATATAAAATAAATATATGCAATCTGAAGATGTATAAATAGGTCCATCCTGAAGAAAAGTTCCAGCTCTGACTGAGATGCACTGACTTCCAAGTTCCATCACTAGCAGTAGAGCACTTCACCTTCATGTACAGTTCTCAGGATTTATCACTATTTTACAGTTTATTCCTTGCGGTTTCTTCCAACTTCTTGTCTATTGTCCAACTCCACACAAATTAAGTAGTCAATTTTGCTTTAGTTTATGGATAATAAGTACTCCAGGGAAGCTAGGCACTAGTTTGGTATTTTAAAATAAATGGGATTCAAACTTCCCACTGCCTACTGGCCAGCACAAGTGTCAGCAAACTTAAAAGAGGTTGTTCCATCCTAAACATTAAGGTTTTGTCTCCTACATCCAATTATTAAAAAATGGAGTCTTGGCTACCACTAAGACAGCTTCTTCAAATCCAGTCTCCTAGAGCCTTGAATGTTCTTCCTGATTGTGTTACCATGGAAGCTGTGGTAAGACGAACAGGTTTTGGTTTTGTTTCCTTTTGAACACATATCCCATTTCAACTGTATCCTAATACATCTTTATAGAGCTCTGGAACTCTCTCTGGATCCACTGGCCTCGGTAGAAAGTGTGTGAATTTCTGGTGTCTTTTGGATCGCGCCCCATCTCTGGGAGTACCATCTTTATTAAGTGCTACAAAGTATCGCCGACCTGAGTCTCCATGCTTGTACACATTGGAGGAGTAAGTATTATACCAATTTTCTTCAAACTGTTCCCTGAAGATGCATTCAGAACTTAGTTTCTCCTAGAAAATGAAAGAAATATAAAAATAAAACATCAGAGCCCTTTCAGTAACTAATGACAAAGTTTCTCAGAATATTAAATATACAGGGACACACTGATAATCAAACTGAGCTGGACTTTATGTTCACTTTTTGTTCAGCCATTCTTTAATACAATCAACCCAAGGAGGATGGTAAAGGTGTCCCTGTTTGCTTCATGTGGATTGGTTTAGAGCAGCTGCAAAACTTTAAGCATACAAGGCCAAATTTCTCTTTTATCAGTACTCAAACTACACTAGATCATGCATAATTTTGAACTGAAGTTCCATTAAGGTAGTATTGTTGAAGGTATTAGTCATGCATGATTCAATTAAAACTCACATCTCCAGTATCTATAAAACCCTAGAAAGACCATAGCTTGGATGGTGTCTAAGATTTGGGCAATGCACATATGGGCAGAAGTAAAATGAAAGACATGAAGATATATTCTCAAGTGCCCTTCTTTTAAGTAGTAAAAAAAAAAATAACACTTTTGGGTTACTATAAGAATAGATATGGCGAGCAAACATATCTAGTATAAAATGGATTATACCTCCCTGTAGGATATTATCATGGTGGTCCATGTACATTTATACATAAACAGCGTGGACAAAAGTACAATCTGACAGGTGAGAAAGGTATTACAATTGAAGCTGGGAAAGTAACTTTAGAGTTTTTCTGGTATGCTTGAAGTTACTTTCCCAGCTCCAATTTTAATTCTTATGATTAATTTAATCAAATGCCAGTCCATCTAAACCAGAGATGTCAAACTCACTCTGGGTCCCAGGTTGGATCTGGAAGGCAGGGGTTCTCCAGGGTCAGATCTGAGAGGCCACGATCAGGCAGAAGCACAGAGCCAAGTCTGGGTGGCAGTCTGGGTCTGTGGCCAGGTGGCAGCAGGAAGCCACAATTGGGTGGCAAAACAGGTCTGGTGGTGGACAGCAGCACATCCCCCAAGAACATGTAGCTGCACAGATCTAGAGGCACACAGCAGTGCAGGGCTGCATTTGGGCAGCAGCACAGATCTAGGGGGCATGATAGGTACATGATAGTCCTATCATCCACTGGGGTCCAGGGACCCTGAATTCTGCAGCTGGCCAAGCCCCCAACTTCCAGTAGCCGCAGGCCGTATGTTTGATGCCCTAACCTAAACCCCTTCAGTCATACAAAATGTTTGAGGCACAAAACAAACAGTACAGGACAATGTGGATTTATGATGTGAGCCACAAATAATGGTAATTCATGTATTTTTTTTCCTTTTGGTTTAGAAAATGCTAAGCATTTGCAATGTATTATAAGAAGCAGGCATGGTGATGATACAAATCAATCTTTTTGAGCAAGGATTGAAATAAATGTGTTAGGCTTGAAACTGGTGTTGGAGTACCAGTTTTATTCATAGATGCTAGGGTCGGAAGGGACCTCAATAGATCATCGAGTCCGACCCCCTGCATAGGCAGGAAAGAGTGCTGGGTCTAGATGACCCCAGCTAGATGCCTAGCTAACCTCCTCTTGAAGACCCCCAGGGTAGGGGAGAGCACCACCTCCCTTGGGAGCCCATTCCAGACCTTGGCCACTCGAACTGTGAAGAAGTTCTTCCTAATGTCTAGTCTAAATCTGCTCTCTGCTAGCTTGTGGCCATTATTTCTTGTAACCCCCAGGGGCACCTTGGTGAATAAAACCTCACCAATTCCCTTCTGTGCCCCCGTGATGAACTTATAGGCAGCCACAAGGTCGCCTCTCAACCTTCTCTTGCGGAGGCTGAAGAGGTCCAGGTGCCCCAGTCTCTCCTCGTAGGGCTTGGCCTGCAAGCCCTTAACCATACAAGTGGCCCTTCTCTGGACCCTCTCCAGGTTATCCACATCTCTCTTGGAGTGCGGCGCCCAAAATTGAACGCAGTATTCCAACTGCGGTCTGACCAGCGCCCAATAGAGGGGAAGTATCACCTCCTTGGATCTGTTCGTCATGCATCTGCTGATGCACGATAAAGTGCCATTAGCTTTTCTGATGGCTTCGTCACACTGACGACTCATGTTCATCTTGGAGCCCACTATTATCCCAAGATAGTGGAGGAAGAAAGGATGACACAGAGTGTTATTACTTTCAAAGGTTTGAAACTACCCAGAAATATTTCTGATAACATATTAAGCATGATAGATTTGGAGAGTTGGCATTAAATAGAAAATCTGCTACTAAGTCACTTTAGTGACTTCTAAGACGTTTTTAAGACTAGTTACTTTATTTTTTATGTATTATATTAGGATGAATATTTCTATGTAATTCTCTTCTTTTTAAGCTTACAAAAATGTTCTCCATGTGTATAATATTTGACTCAACACTCTAAAGGTTTGAAGAAGATGGAATGACACAAATGATATACATCATTTTAGCTGGATAGGAAGTCAGCATATTTCACCTTTTCAGTGGTTTTCTAAGGGGGGGGGGGTGTTTGTTGCCAACTGTTAATAAATGAATCAACGTGTTATGCCTAAAACCAAAATGTGGATTGGCTGATGTGAAGACAATACTTACAGATCCATAGAGTTCTCCCTTTTCATTCATTCCAAGGTAAAGGCCACTGTCCACACCTCTAATACTGACCAGTCCCACTGCCACACTCATGAATTCAAGGATACCTGAATGCACACAGAAGGAGGAGGACTGGGTTAAGACACAGATTGGTTAAAATCAGAAATATACTAAAATACAGATAGAAGCAGATGAGGCTATTTATTTAATACATTATAGTAAATGTGGCCTCCTTTCTTTCTGAGACAATGCTCCTATTTATTATTTCAAACATTGACCTGAATTTCATACAAACTTTACTTCAAGGCACTCTCTGAAGCCTCCATAAAGAAATGTTATTTTCAGGAACATTTGTTAAGGCTTGGTTAAGAACAATTTTTTCCTGTCACTGATGGGTTAAAGGATTTAATACTAGATGATTATACTCTTTTTTGCCAAGGTCCCTTTTCATACATTGGTGGAGTGATTTGAACTGTCTAAAAATATAATTCACTTTCTCTGCAGAATGATCTTAGAAAATAATCCCAGGTTAAAAGGGATAACTAATAATATTATAATGGAAAAGTCAGACTAACAGTATCATGTAAATGGACATAAAAGTACAGATGGGAATGTCATACCAGAGAATCTTCCCATAGCATAAAAGCATATTTGCCACATATTTCATGCAAACCCTGCTCCTGTAATTTCATGGACTTCCTATGTAGCCTTGTAGGTATATAAATTATGTTGCATGTACATTCTGTATTTAAAAATCACAAACACAAAATGTTTGATAAGTATGGAATGTAGTTGCCATTTGAATTGGAAGACAAGTTATATGAAATATTTCCAAAATACACGGCATTCATATTTAATTATTAATTGATGCAATGTGATGTTTCAGTATTTAGATTACATCATACTCTTAGTGACAGAGCATTTGACCAAATACTCCGGTCACAAAAAGGACCCAAATTACTTGTATACTATACAGAAGAGAAGGAAAGGAAAGAAATGAATTGCCTTCTTTAAAACTTCTAACGATATAAACAAAAAGTCCCCATGCAAAGTTGAATTTGATTCATACCTGACATTTTACTGTGCAAGAGTAAAAACACTAACCTTCTAAACAGATGTGAAGGCATGGAAAGTTCTTTAAAATAGTTTTGTATCTATAATTTTAATCATACTTTTTGCCTCTTTAAATTTTAATTGAGTTTTGACAGATCTATTATGCTAAGTGGCCAACGAAATAAATTCTCTAGAAGTAGACATTAACAACCGTCTGCTGGCTATAAATCATCACAGATTTTCTGGTTCCTTATGTTAAAGATCTGTTTAGAAGAGAGAGAGAGAGAAACAGAAAAAGAAAAGATGTGGAGGTATTTTGTCTTTCTAGTATAATTTTCAAAGCCATCCTTTTTAAAAAGCTATAATAGCAGGTGATTCAACCCACAAAGAGACCACATCAGACAAACATGTAGAGAACAGTGATAGAATAAAGGAAGAGCACTGTGAATGTTTGATCTGGGACTGAACTTTTTTGTTTCTTTTTGAGTGATGATTTATTTCATGTTTACATGCTGGAGGAAGTCTCCCTTCTGTGAAGAACTTGCTGTTCAACTACAGTTCTCCCAGTTCTGAAAACATCAGCACTCCAATGTGTTATAAAGAAATCATTTGCCAAGCTATTCCAGCCAATTGTTTTGACTATGGGAAGGGTGGCGGAGAACACTGTAATCACCTTTCTTAGGGCTGTTAAATCAATACACAGAAAAAGCCCTCTGGTGATCCACAACAACAGGCTTGTTCAGATAAGGCAGCAGTGCCCACGTGCATCCCTCCCATTGCCTGAAGAAGGGTGTTCCTGCCTGAAAAGATTGCAAAGAACCATTTTTCCAACTGTTTAGGTGGTCTCTTAAATGAGATCACATCTACCCAAAGAACCTTCCCTGCCTATGTCCTTAGATCAACACTGCTACAACCAGCAACCTTCTCATTTACTCCTAACAGGTCAGGAAACTGTTCCCAGGCTTGGGAGATGCTTTCCGGCAGCCCCTTCCCTTTGGCTTTGCAGGCAAAGTACCATACCTTCACATCTGTTCAGAGGGTTTGTGTTTTTACTCTTGCACAGTCGAATGTCAGGTATGAACCAAATTCAACTTTGCTTGGGGACGTTTTGTTTACATGATTAGCAGTTTCAAAGAAGACAATTCATACATCCCCTTTCCTTTGCTTTTGTAGGGTATACAAGCAATTTGGGTCCTTTCCGTAACCCGAGTATTTGGTCCAAGGCTCGGTTACTAGGAGCCTGATGTCATCGAAATATTGAAATATCACATTGCATCAACTACTAATTAAAGATGAGTGCCACGCATTTTAGAAATAACTCCCTATAAGTTGTCTCCCAGTTCAGGGAAGAGCCGTGCCCTCCTATGGCCCCAGCTGTAAACAGCCCCGAGGCTGCGCAGGGTTAAGGCTCCCAGCTTGCTTCCCGGGCACGGGGGAGCGCTGCTCGCCAAAGCCGCACCAGGGTGGCCCCGGCGCACGTGCGCCCGCCCACGCGCTGCTCGGCGCGCTCCATCGCTGCCCGCTCTCACGGGCC